TGTTTGACTAATCCAGATTGTTGTTATGAGAATGTTGCTAGATTTAAAAGATTAATTGATTCAGTTCAATATAATGGTCCAGTAGTAGCTATGACTGATAATACAAAGCTAAAATCTCGTCTTCGATATTCACCAACTCTTGGATGTATTGTTGGTTCAGTACTTTCAAAAGAAGAGACAACAATCAACGTGTATTCAGATATACCAAATATTATTAATAAAATTAAAAGTGAAAAAGCTATTGCTAAAGATGTTCGTGTTTACATACTACAGGTAATATTTCATTATTAATTTAAATTATTGCTTGTTATAATTATATTTGGATATTAAATTTCACATTTTTAATTAATAGATTCCATTACCAAAATTTCCACCTGTTGTAATTGCATTAATACCAAATAAAGGAAATGATAATTCAAAAACTATTAGCCAATTACACAAAAAACTTATTCAAGAAATCGCACCTCAACTTGGAATTCATATTTTATCTATTGGTTCTGATGGTGCTATTACTGAATTTCAAGCACAACAATCAATAATTGATATTCAGACTTCTAAAAGACTTTTTATACGTGAACCATCCTTAAACATTCATTTTTCCTGTCCCGTTTTTGATAACGTTGGTCCAATAGTTCGAGTCCAAGATCCAAAGCATGCAAAAAAGACAGCCAGAAATGCAATAATTTCTGGAGCTCGGCTTTTAACTTTTGGAACATCATCTGTTCGATACGATCATTTTCTTACCCTAATTAATCAGCATGATTCAATTATGTACAAAAACGATGTAATTAAGTTAGATAAACAAGATGATGCCGCCGCCTATCGATCTTTTTGTTCTGCAAACTTTAAGCAATGTCTTACACATGAATTTCGAGTAAAAGAAGGGATGGAAGGCTTTGCAGTATATATATTTGTTATGGGTAAATAATACAAATATTTTCAAAAAATTGGAATTAATAATTTATATTAATAATTAATCATGTAAATTAATATATTGACATTTTTTTTAAATAGGAGAACTTATTGATAGCTATTTAAATCGTAATATTTCACCAGTTGAAAGAATACGAATGGCATTAACAAGTTATTTTTTTCTTCACTTATGGCGTTTTCATATTGAAACTCTTCATCAAAAATATTCCAACTATGTATCTATCAGGCAAAATTTTCTATCTGACCAAAGTTTTGCTATTTTTACTTCTCTTTGTGAATCAATGGTATTACTTGTAAAAGCTCACCGAGATTACTATCCTCAAATGCCTTTTCTTCATTGGTTACATAAATCTGAATCATGTGAACACTTCTTTGGTGTGGCAAGACAGATTAATTCAGATTTTGATTTTTCTGAACTTATTCAGATGTTGCCTAAGATTTCACAATATACAAAGGCCTTACGAAATAAAAAGTTAAGTTTTAATAAGGAAAGATCAGTACGTGAAGGTATGAAATTACTAACAAAAATATAATTTGTTAATAATAATAATTAAAATATTATTTATTATCTAGGGTATCTTTTTGACTATACCTCTGATGAATTGGACAAACTATCCATAGATAAACTCCGCTTATGGCCTGATGATGAGCAAATACTGAAAATTATTCAACATTCACGCTGTCTTGCACGGGACCTTGCAGAATATGTTGGCATAATACAACCATCTGATATTTCTATTGAAATATTTGTTCCGCAAATCTTTGTTGAATCACATGAAGTTGATGTTTCAAGCTCTAGTATTGAAAAGCAATCTAATGAATCCAACAATGAAAATATTGATAATGAAGAGTACGATTTATCATCTGCTATTGGTGAAGCTTCTTCAGAAATGAGACGAATTATTATTGAAACTGGTAATGAGGAACAAGATTCTAATAATAATTTTATTAAAGGTCATTCTCAGTTAAATGAAATTAGCACAGGTCGAAGGGGCACCATTGTCCAAAATTCAAAAAATGCAAATTCCCCATTTTCCTGGAAAATGGTGGGAAATTGTGAAAAATGCTGCATTACGCTGAGCAATTTTTTGGAATAGCATTGTTACAACATTGTCCGATTTAGCAAATCTTATAAAATTTTAGGAAAATGCTACATTATATCTCAAATGTAACATTTTTGTAACATTTCGTAACATTGTTATAACATTGTCATTAAAATCAAATTTTGCTTTTTTTTTGTAAAATGTTCCAATTTTCTTGCAAATGGTGCATTTTTATGAAAATTTCACATTTTACCTCAAATGTAATAACATTTAATAAAATTGTTATAACATTGTCAATTAAAATCAAATTTTGCTTTTTTTTTGTCAAATGTTCCAATTTTCTTGCAAATGGTGCATTTTTATGAAAATGCCACATTTTATCTTCAATGTGATATCATTGTAACAACATTTCATAAAATTGTTATAACATT